ATAAATTGCATGATTTTATTATAGATGGAGAATGGTGAGAACAATTTGAAGCCAAGAAAATAAAAGTAGAACTTTTGAGTTGGTTGTTCTGATAATGTTGTAATTTTGATGACATTCATTTCAGTTGAGTGTTAAATATATATGAGATAATCAAGGAAGATAATATAGCAGTTTCTCTGTGGAGTTGACACTTCCATATCCACATATTCCTTCATTTTAGATTAAATTGAGAAGCAAGAGCATTGGAAAAAGAGACAGTTATGGAGAAGGTGAGCCTCTAGAAGTGATTAGAGAGAAAAATATAAGGACTTAGATGACACCAGTAGGCGTTGGTTGTAGTTTCACAGATCTGTTGTTTGCTGGACAAAGCATCATGGAACAGCATCTCCCTCTCATACAAATGGATTGCTTTCTCTTTTCTGATTGTCTACTACTGTTCATGCTTTCTCCTTTTAGCCTCCTATTGTTACTACCATGGCAGAACCTTTCTCGAGGCTACCTGGTTTGGCAGAAAGAGTACAGACTTCGAAATGAGACAATTCTTATAATTCTGGAGTTGTTCATTTCTACCTGCATGTGTTCTTTTGAATCTCTTTTTCCTCCTCTATAAACTGATAAAAATAATTGCAAGAGAGTAGGGAATGAGTGGAGATATGTATTATAAAAAGCCTGTACATTTTAAGAGTTCAAAAATATTAGTTTTTAATCATATCTTCCCCTTACAAAGGAGTTATTTTTTGCAATAATTCATAATCCAGTCTGCATATTGCAATTCAGACAATCCCTGAAATCCAAAAATTTAGAATCGATGAAAGACAATGAAAGCCATTGAATAGTAAGAGCCCTAAATTAACATCACACAGGTACATACACTACTAATGTATATCTGAACAACTAAAAGATAATTATGGGACTAGGTTGCCCTGAAAATTCAAATTTGTCAAGTTATTAAATAAGCCTCAAAGCCTTTGCCTTCAACAATACCATCTCTTTTATGCACATCACAATAAATGGAGTCTTTACATTTATATAGAAACTCTTAGAAGCAAAATTTCTGTTTCACTGTTCTGCACAGATGTAGTAATTTTATTTTACTTAATGTTATTTACTCTAACAAATAAGCAATAGTCCTTTCAAAATGATGATATTAGCCATACTAATAAAAAAGTTCATAAGCACTCATTTTTAGTCAATATAGCATCCCAATTTTCAGCAGAAAATAAATGTCAATCTTACCATCAGTGATAAAATTTTAGCAGTTATATCCAAGGCCATTATTTTCCAACTTTCTTCAACATTGTCTGGTATGGGTGTACGAATATAAGAAACAAAAAAACCAAAAAGCAGCCCCAAACAGAGAGCTTTGAACCCCATAATATCCATTTTTCCAGCTTCTTCAGTA